TGTGTATATATATATATATATATATACACACACACACACACATACAACACACTCAAAGATGGTGGGCAGAGCTAATATTAAATATTTTATTTCAGGAGACTGGTCAAGAACAAGGCATGGTCTAGGATTTAAAAACTACTAAATCAGTAGTAAGATTGTAATGTTATGTACTGGGTGCATAAATATGGATTTGGAAGAATACAATCTACTTTTATAGAATATTGGATTATGTAAACAAACAAGAAGTTTGATGTTATCATTTGTAATATTGCAGCATTCTGCTGAATGTATTACTGGTAAAAAAAAGAAGCAAAATCTAGTCCAGTCTCTTCTGTTAGGTATTTAAGATGTATTTTACATTTAAATTTTAAATAACCAGGGAGGTTCAGAAACAGAAGTTTCTCTTCGTCCCAAGGAAAATAAGTTTAGTAATTTAGTAGTGGGTAAATGGATCTGACCGTGGAAGATAGTTTCAACACTCTAATGCCTCCGGCAAAGCAAGGAAGTCCAAGAAAAAGAAAGAAAACTGGATGCTGATCTTCCTGTGGTGTTCTCTTCATTTAAAATAGTGCCAAGTATTCTACCTGACATCAGACTATATTGTGAAGATAAGACAATAAAAAAACATTTAAACACTCAAGAAAGATATCATGCTGCTATGGAATATTTCTGAGATACAGTATTATGTATGGAATATTTCTATGGAATATTTCTGAGATACAGTATTATGTATGAATTCTTTAAGATGAGTTCTTGTTATTGATTAAGTTTAATGGTGATAGGTATTTCTACCAGAGTGTTGGAAAGAGGTGGAAATTGTTTAGTCTGTTCATTATGATATGGCAGGTTTTTATAAAATCTAAAAGCCAGTTTTAAGATTCATTATTTGCCCACAGATATATTGCTTATTTTATTTAGATACTGAGAGGAAGTATAAATTTGTAGGCAGTGAGCAATTCTGATGGCTATGTTTTGATTTTTCTGTAATATATTGTGTAGAGAGTCTGAAATATTACAGGTTACTTTACAACCATACTCTGTTAGTGGTCTAATTTAAGCTTTATAAGTAATTGTGATAGATTAGCTGTTATAACCTGTGATGCTGCCTCCGATTTTAAGAAGGTAGGCAGTTCTCTGAATGATATTTTGACAAATGATGTTATGTTGTGTGTTATATGTAAAAATTTAATTGTCAGTAAACTTTTGATTGACTTTCAATAATTTCTTACATTTTCCATTGTTGTTTCTATGAAATGTAATTGCTTGTATCTTAATCAATATAAGAAGTACCTCTCACTGGTGGTTATGACAGCTCTGTCATAAGTTAAAGCAGGGAAGGGGATATCAATAAAAGAATCATGTAGAGTAGTGAGTCTTGTGGAACTGCAGCTTTTAGCAGATAAGATTTGGAAATTGCATTATTAATCTTAACTTTAGCAAAATGCTAAGAAATAAAATTTGAGATCCATTGAATCAGGGAATTGGGGGATTGAATATTGGGAAGAGCTTGAATTTCAGTCTGTTATATCGTACTGAATCAAAAGTTTATTGACATCAAGAAAACTTGCTACTGTAGTATGGTTTGTATTAAAACCTTGAAATACAGATTCAGTTTATATGACTAAATGGTTGGTCAGTGGTTTGTTTGTTCTTGTGGCCAGTGTTTTGTATATTAGAAAATATTTTGTTGGATTATAAGTAGTTAAGAAATCAAGTAGCTATTAATTTTTTCCAGAAGTTTCTCTATATTGTTTGTTAGTCTTATTAGTCAGTAGTCACTTGGGTTATTAAGTACTAAATTTTTATTGGGTATAACTTTGATTAGGGCTGATTTTCATCTTGATGGATAATACCCTGATTTAAATGAAAGGTTGAATAATGTACTTAGATGTACTAATAAAGGTTCAGAAAGATTTTCAAGAACTAACTTATTGATGCCATTGTCACGTGGATTTTTGCTTGATATTTTGTCCTGAATGCTGTAGTGATTGCTAAGGTATTGTTATGTATTGTATCTGTATTTAATGCAAATGTTGTACATATTTCTGACAGATTCTTGTCAACGTTAAACATTAGAGAAATCAAAAACTAGTCAGTTGGAGAGTACTATTCGTAGAGCTATTAAATAAGATAATACCCACCTATATTATCATGATTTTGGAAGTGAAAGGAGTGAGCTATTAGTGTTGATGAAACTATTACTAGGTTTAAAATATCCTATGTTCTGTCTGTATGTATATATGTCATGCTGTTATTATTGATTATGTTATTTTCTGTAAAATGATGTAAAATTGTGTCATGAAAATTGACAGTTAAAGTCAAAGTGTTTGGAGTCTAGATCTCCAATGATTATGTTTCTAGGATATTGGCTGATTTCTGATTATAGGAATGCTAGATCTAGAGTAGGTGATGCTTAGGTGGTTAAAAGGGTAATGGTTGCAAAGTTTGGTTGGATGATGTTACATAGAATGAACTCATTGCTAAAGGTTGAGAAGCTGTTAGGAAGGTTATTCTTAAATCTTTTTTTATTTAATAATTCTATGCTTTCTTACCCAGATGTTTAGGTTAGGCTGAGATATAATTAGACAAGTTAAAATGGTTAGGGTTGTTAAGAAGCATCTTGCTGTACATGCCACTCCGGAATGACAAAATTTTTGGTAGTTGTAACACTGCAAAACATTAGGTGCTGTGGTCCTGGCAGGTTCAACAGAGTGTTGCCGATACCAAAGAGATATTCTTGTCTGGATTAACCCTTTTGTAGTGGGCTCGGTATAATATACACGAGTTCATATACATGTTTGCATACGTTAAGTATTTATATTATAACTTTTAATTCAGTATGTGCATCTTCACAAAATTTGGTATACCTTTACTAAACATTACAAGTCTTTTGTACACAGAATATCAAATTTTTTAATGAAGTATTTTTACTAAAGATTTGTTTGTGAATATATCGTTTAGTTACTAGTCCAAGTGAAAGTGATTTTCATGTTGTGATTAAAAATACTATTCTTCATTCCCCAAAATCTTTAAAACCTCCTAAGTACATTTCAAACATTTGTTTTCAGTAAAACTATATCTTATCGGTTATTTAATGATACACTTGAGTCTTCAGCTTGTAGACAAATCCTAAAAGTATAATGAAAAGACAAGTTGTAAAATTAGAAATAAAAGGAGCAGCTGTGCCTTTTTTCGTTGTTATTGGTCACAAAGTTTCAAAGTACTTCTCTTACGAGTTTGAATTGTTAAACATTTCATATTTAGTTTCTGTGTTTATTTTACTGTCAACAACCAAAGTAGAACCTCGCTGAAAATAAACCAATAAATCGCCGCTTGTGTCAGTAGACTGTTTACGTGACACCACCATAATACGGTACTCCTGAAAGTAACAAAGCACATGGGAAAAGATAGTTGATTTGACCCCTGCTTCGACAACAGGATGTCTAATGTATCAGATCATATATGCTAAATGTTTTCTTGGAAAAATTCAGAATAATCACATTGCACTTAGAATCAGTGAAAATGTTTATGCCGACAACAGGATGTGTGTAATTTATCGGATCATATATGCTAAATGTTTTCTTGAAAAATTCAGAGTAATCACACTGCACTTAGAATCAGTGAAACCATTTATGTCGACAACAGGATGTGTAATTTATTGGTTTATGTATGTATATTACAGTGTTCACAACAAGCCTTTTTGAGAGTGACAACACTATACTTTGAACCTGTCAAAATGTTATTATGCGGTTTGGTGCTGATACAATAAATATTACAATTCTATGAATATTGATAATCCTTTTTGGGGTGATTGGAATTTAGTGGCATAGGTGTACAAAGATGTTATTTGAGCACATGCTTCTAAAATCCTATTTCCCTTTTCAGCACTTAATTGTCAACCAATAGAAACTCTAGTTTTGGTAGTACTTATCACACTTGTTTAGTTTCGCAAGCCTTAGAAGTCTAGTCTTCTTTGGAAAATATTCTTACTTTTACAGCTAAAGTGTAGTTTAGAAGTTCCCTTACAGTTGTATAACACCTTGAGTTGTTACTACCACTTACCTTGAAGTAAGTAATAATCATTTATAATTTATATATATACAGAATCAAATACAAAGTACAAATCTAAGTGTATTACCAATATTTTGCAAACTACACCTATATTTTGGCTTCCATATATTACATATATACATACATACTTACTCATATATGCTTATATTTTTCTTAAAACATGAACAATAAATGAAAATTACATATAAAAACAATGTTTTCTAGTACTTACGAGAAGTTATGATGACAGGAAAATATTTTCCCTCGTGTGCCTTTAGTGGTAAGCCTCATTTATTTTTTTGAGTGAAGGGTGAAAAGATATAATTTTTGTAGGCCTCAAGTATACATTTTAGAAAGAAGCAATATATTACTCTACCAGTACACCAAAAACATCTGTAACTTGTTTGGGTTTATAAATAAAGTATATATGTGTTACATTTTTTTTATCTCTGTTCAAAGCAACAACTTGGTCATCATCATTCAACATTCTTGGCAAAATTAATATTTTTTCTTCTGAGCTCTTTACAAACAACTGTCAGTATCATGTAAAGCATAACTTGTCCTTTCTATTGGTTATAAACAGACCCTTAAGAAAAGTAGATGGAACTAAACAAGAGGTTTGGAAAGAATGGAGTAGGAGGAGGCATCGCTCTAGTTGATTTGCTAGATACATTGATTTCTCAGCAAATCAAAGTGATGGGAGGTTCTAAATTTATATTCTAGCTTACCAGAATCTAAAATTTGTGTTTCTAATTCATTAACCACTTGTAGATATATATATATATATATATATGGTAGATGTAAAAAAATATAAACTGAGCATCAAGACATGAGGAGGTGCTATGTGACAAACTCAAATTGATGTTTATTTCTATTTTCTTTTGAATTAAGAAATTAAAACAGATATATAATACTAAAATCTGAAATATAAGCAATGTTTTGATGCCAATTTCATTGATATATAATAATAATAAAGTTACTTAATAAAGTTTTGAAAATAAATCGCTAAAAGACTGTGACATGTGCAGTTAGACCCAACCATTGCAAAAGGGTTAATGACTACTTGCTTCACGTAATTAAGTGTGATTCTGATTAACATTGCATGTAGTCCTGTCTTAACTGATTTAATTCTCTCAATCTTGATGGGATGTATTTCTTGAATGGTTAACTTCTCCTGCATCTCTTCACTGGTGATATCTAATGGTATGCTCTTAGGTTAATATGTAAGAAAGTACAGGTTTGATATTTGGATTAGATGGTTTGTTTTAAATAGAGAAGAGGCTGGTTTATTTGCAAGGGCTATTAACCCTCTTCCTACAGGCTGGTCAAAGTGCCCATGTCATGACTTTTCAGAAAGTTACATTCAAATTTAATTAAACTACTTTAGTATTACTGTATAAAAATAAACTTGGCATCAAAACATAGTTAATAAACCAAATTTTAATATAAGTTTTAAGTTCTTAATTGTATAAAGAAATATTTAAAAAAATCTTCAGTCTCCTCTAGTTTGAGAATTGTGACATTTGCTTTCTAGGTCTCCCATTTTCTCTAATTTATTTACCACCCCTCCCAGAAAAAAGTACAGAATGTATTGTAAATTACTCATTACAACATAGATATTACTCAGGCAAAGAAAAATATTTCTAGCCATAAACAAGAAAATCAGATCCACTTGTCATGCTCTTCTGTCACATCCTCTCTTTTGCAAATTGCCAATAGCTCTTTCTAATGTTTTATACTATATTATTTATAACCAATAGAAAGCCAAAGTTTTAATCTATCAAGTTATGTATTATGTTATGTTTTTTTCTGTACAGAGAATTGTCTATTTTGCCTCTGCTTCAAAACTTTTTTTCTCATGGGAATCACTTCAACAACAACCTTAGCTGAATTTATAAAAGCTCTTATCACATTGTTAGAAAGCCAGAAAAAATATAATACTTTTATGACATTATTTGCTTTGTGCTCTTAGGTGCATTATTTAATTAAATAAAAAGTATTTAGTGTAGTAGTACCATTAGTATAAAAAAAGTAGGCTTAAGTTTCATCAACAGTTGACAGCAAAATAAAATACAAGGACTTAGGAAAGTACCAGTTTTCTTGTTTTTCATATATGTTCTTTATTTATTATTATAAAAGTAATTAAAATGTGAAAATTAGAAACTTGTTAGGTTAGATAAGATGATAAAAAAAAAATATTCATGAGGTATGCTCGCAAGCAGCTTGTACATTACATAATTCAACATGGTCATGTGAACTGCATGTTTACTGAGTGATTTACAACTTGTGTGGTAGGATTATTAGTTAGGCACAGCTCAAAGAACAATATAACAATAAAACTAAGTCTAAACAGATATATACTGTGGTTGCCTGTTACAATTTGCAGAAAAAAGGGTAAGTTAGATTTATTTCCTAACATTTTTTTGGTGGTTACAAGGCCAGTCAAATAGACCAACCCTACATAAAGTTAGGGTACAGAAAATAAAATATAAAGTTTTTCTGAAAGAACATTTGATTATTATTCAGGTTTTAGAGATTATGCGAAGGAAATTTTAAAATTTTCAGATGAAGTAAAGTATTTTTAATCTTAAGTTGAAAATCATTTTACATTTGGAGCAGTCAACACTCTGACCCCATATATTCACAGACAAATGTTTAGTAAAATACTTAATTAAACATTCTGATTTTTTGTCTAAAATAGCCTGTGAAAAATAATGGGGCAAGTACTACCACCCCCACCCCATAATATACACTAATGTCACATTTCATAAGTAACTGAAATAAATGAATTTTGCAAAATCAAGCTTGACCAACAAAAAGGTAGAAAAGTGCACTCGAGGCAGTCAAACGTTGGTAAATTCCTTTATGAGCCAATCAAAATTGAGATCTTTCATGAAATGAGTTTGTGATGTATTCATAAACTAATCAGTGGTAAAAATCAGTTATATTAACAACTTTTAATATATAGAAAAGCCAGTGCATTTTGGTAACAAAACGTTCCAACAATGGCTTTTATGTTATGTTGTTTAGCAACAGAAGTGTAGTCTAATGTTGTTGTTAGTCTATTTACTGAAAGTATAAAATGTAATGTATATTCAATAAAACTGGAAATATTTTTGTTGATTTCTTAATTTAGAGTCTGTTGATGAAAATATTGGTGATATAACAGAAAATAACTTAATTCAGAAATGATTTAACTTTAAAATTGAATCAATATTGTTAATTTTATGGTCAATTTTATGCACTTAGCTCTAGGCTAGGTGATCCCACACTATGTCTTTACTGTAGGCTTATTATACCAACACTTGTATAGTTTCATGGCACTCCCTCATGGTTTCCTTGCACCCCTGTTACTAAACTCTTAATGGGCAGACTGCAGTTGAACTATTCTATCTGGATAAATGCATTTTGGCTTTTAGGACTCCTCCTATTTTGAGAAATCAAGTGTGACATGACATGCACTGGCTTTTATATAGGTTAGATTGAACTGAATTAGGCTTCTCTCCTGTTTGAGTTGCAGCTATACAGAGCCTGTTCCTTTGTCTTTTGCGATGATCAATGACAAATCAGTTCACTTTTTTGCATATTATGCAAATGGGTAGTAACACTCTGGAATTGGATGATACATGCAAATCTGACTGTGATCTGAATTTCTTTGGAGAAGGTGAATTCAACAAAGGTTCACCCACCATTATTTTATCAGCTACACAATTTCCACATCTTTATATAGCAAATTCAATACGTTTTTGTTGATAAAATTTATGTAACAAGGTGGGTGAAAACTAATTCCTGATAGTGTTGAGACATCCCCTTTTTTGTCATATATTATGTTGAGAATGGTAAGACTGGAGGACACAAATTCTGAGACAATACCTCACCATCACCCACAGAATAGCTTGATTCCTATATGCAACTACCTACAAGATTTGCATGCCATTAGCCTTTATCTCCCTCCCATCTAAAAATATGGTTAACGTGAACTGTGCTAGTGCATGATATCATCTTGTAACAATAGCCCTCCACCAATTAGAGGGCAACACAACCTCTTTGTACAGTAGCTCCCCCTAAGCAATTGCATTCATATTAACTTCATTATTTTCCTTGGCATTGTGTAGAATGGACATGTTTCAAAATTTGTAATTAATTACTTGAGATTTGTAATAGTTTATGACTGAGTTAAATTTTGTTCAAGTTTACCTGGTGTAGTGTCCATGTTTCACATAACCAGTGTAGTTTTTTAATTTCATTTAGAAAAAAACTTCCACTTTGTCTCCTGATATTGACAATACAGAATGTATCTACTGTGGCTAGTGGGGGCTTGTTGTCTTCGGAGGATGTGATAGCCATTCTTCAGTGTATTGTGGGTTCCTTCATACATTCTGGGCTTCCTCTTCTCATCCATTTGGCCAATGTTCCTTCTCTCCTGTTTGAGCATGACCAAGATGATAATGATTTTGATCAACTATTTTTCCTACCAGGGTTTACTCAATGCACAGCTTTATCTGTGAGGGAAAATCCTCTCTCTTGATATCATTCTGTGGGTATGTTCTTTTCTTTCTCTTTCCCCTATGTTAATGAATCCCACCCCCTACCACTTTACTACTTGAAACCCGTACACTTTGTCATCCCTCCTTCCTCTGACATTAGGGTCCATGTAGACTCGTTTCTTGATTTCATTCTGCGGGCATGTTCTTTTCTTTCTCTTTCCCCTATGTTAATGAATCTCCCCCCTCCACCACTTTACTACTTGAAACCCGTACACTTTGTCTTCCCTCTGACATTAGGGTCCATGTAGACTCGTTTCTTGATTTCATTGATCCTACACACCGACATACATTTTGTTGAAATTGCCAATCTTATATTGTTGAAGGAAAGAAAAATAAAAAAAATGTTACTTTGTGAAAGAGAAACATATTAGGTATTCGGTATAGTATGGTTTTGAAACATACCGATACATGAAAGAGAAACAATTTAGGTATTCGATATAGTATGGTTTTGAAACACACCGATACATGAAAGAGAAACAATTTAGGTATTCGGTATAGTATGGTTTTGAAACATACCGTACATGAAAGAGAAACAATTTAGGTATTCGGTATAGTATGGTTTTGAAATACACCGTACATGAAAGTGAAACAATTTAGGTATTCGATATTCTATGGTTTTGGAACACGCTGTACATGAAAGAGAAACAATTTAGGTATTCGGTATAGTATGGTTTTGAAACATACCGATACATGAAAGAGAAACAATTTAGGTATTCGGTATAGTATGGTTTTGAAACATACTGTACATGAAAGAGAAACAATTTAGGTATTTGGTATAGTATGGTTTTGAAACATACCGTACATTAAAGAGAAACAATTTAGGTATTTGGTATAGTATGGTTTTGAAACATACCTTACATGAAAGGGAAGCAATTTAGGTATTCAATATTCTATGGTTTTGAAACACGCTGTACATGAAAGAGAAACAATTAAGGTATTCGGTATAGTATGGTTTTGAAACACACCATACATGAAAGAGAAACAATTTAGGTATTTGGTATAGTATGGTTTTGAAACATACCATACATGAAAGTGAAACAATTTAGGTATTCGATATTCTATGGTTTTGAAACACGCTGTACATGAAAGAGAAACAATTTAGGTATTCAGTATAGTATGGTTTTGAAACACACCATACATGAAAGAGAAACAATTTAGGTATTCGATATCCTATGGTTTTGAAACACTGTACATGAAAGAGAACCAATTTAGGTATTTGGTATAGTATGGTTTGGAAACATACTGTACATGAAAGAGAAACAATTTAGGTATTCGGTATAGTATGGTTTTGAAACATACCGATACATGAAAGAGAAACAATTTAGGTATTTGGTATAGTATGGTTTTGAAACACACTGTACATGAAAGAGAAACAGTTTAGGTATTTGGTAAACTATGGTTTTGAAACATACTGTACATGAAAGAGAAACAATTTAGGTATTTGGTATAGTATGGTTTTGAAACACACTGTACATGAAAGAGAAACAGTTTAGGTATTTGGTAAACTATGGTTTTGAAACATACTGTACATGAAAGAGAAACAATTTAGTTATTCGGTATAGGATAGTTTTGAAACACACCATACATGAAAGAGATACAATTTAGGTATTTGGTATACTGTGGTTTTTGGAACAATGTAAATGTTCAAACTTCTGAGAAAACCTGTTTCTCAGTGCATCTCTGGTAAGGATAAGTAGTTTTTAAGGTATAATTATTTTAAAAAATAATTACCCTATATATATATATAAAGCTTTTTTGTGACAACAAAGAATTTCATTGAGGTACCACACTTTAAGAGTTTAAAATACGTGAGCCACACTGGTTGGATATCAAGATAACATCTGTGTGCTAAATTCATTTGAACTACATTTTGTTATTTTATAATGGATACATTTGAAACTAATCACATAAAATGTAATATCAAAAGTTGTTACAAAGAAGGGACCATATATTTCTTCTTTTGAGGGTGTTCATCAGTGTAAAATTGGCCATTTATTGTAAACTTATAAAGGCTGATTTACAGCTTTATTAACTTTATAAAAAGTGGCTAGTTTAAGTGATCATTAAACATGTAACTAGAATTATTAGATATGAGGCATATAAGTTATTTAATACAAAGCTTAAATGCCCCCGAGATATTTGAATAACAAAGCAACGAAAGCTTTTTTTTGTATGACCACTGTGTTGGTATATTTAGGTAATAAAGATTTGTGCACGTACATTCAGTAAATTGTGTTTTATTCCTGAAACCACATTAATGTATAATACAGATTCAAACACTATTAACATTTCATATCGTCAGTACTATTTTTTTGTACACTTTCATTCAAATATAACAGTTTATGAACATAGAACTGGATTATCTGTGCGATTGGTGTTTAAGTACATGTAGGCCCAGATTCATTTTGTAACTAAAATATTAAAAGTAATATTCTGACACACACATGGCTATTCTTCCTTCGGTAATTTTCTTCTAGGGGCCATCTAAAAGATTCCACAACTTAATTGCATAAGTACTATAAACTAATATATTTTTGTGCTATTAAAGAAAGAACGTTATTAAAAGGCGCTGATATATATATATATAAATATATTATTTTGGGCTATTTTTATTATTCTAATGTTCTGTTCACTAGAGGGAGTTATATTTTATATGAAGTCTAGAAGTCTCGTGAAAGTTTAGACCTCTTTGGAATCGTGAAGCTTTCTGTAGTATTTAGAAAACTAGTAAAGTATAAAAATAACTGACTGTGTTAGAATCAGTCAGTTTAGTGCCAGTTCAAAAGTTATAGTGTGTTAGAAAATCAGAGTTAGCGAGTTTGTTTGAAATGTTTGAGTTAGTAAGCTGTTAATGGTTTTCTTCTTTATCGACTAGCGAAAAAATCTTCAAGTTAGGCGTAAATTAGTTTCAGAATTTCCACTGAAACGTTGTGAAGTTAGGCCTACCACTAAAAACGTAGCCTGTAGCCTTTATAGAACCTTTGTGAAGAAGTAAATAAATTAGTTTTCGTTACGTGTGCTTGCATTATTCTTTTCATAAACCAAAAGAAACCGACCAACGACACAATACGTCATAGTAATTATATATATATATATATATATACATATAGCCACACACACACACACACGTATATTATTTTAGATATGTTTTAATTGAAGCTGAGCCTCATTCAGTATTTCACTGAAGAAAAATTCCATGACTAAGGTTTAGAAATTGCGGTTTGTTTTGTATAGATATCTCGTTACAACTACTCGGTAATTAAACTTTTTCTCTAATTATAATGATGAATGCCTTGGGCAGTGTATAGAAATGTTGTTTACGAAGTGGAAATAATTTTTCCCTGATGAATAATCTTATTTTTAGAAGCTGCTGGAGAATAAACTAAAATCACGAGGAACTGTAACGAACTTGATATAAACTTGTATTACGTTTGTTATATTGTTTTCGCAGTCGTGAAAATTACGTTATAAACAGGTGTCGAATGTGGAATAAAAAAAAGGCTTAAAAATGATTTCTTAACACACTTACGAAATGTAGGAAAGAGAACTAGTAACATGTTTATCATTTCAGTTGCTTTCCAAGAACTCCTACATCGTTGAATTCTCTTTATTCACGAGATCAGTTTTCCTGGAAGATCGCATAGCGATCAAATCCGGGTCACCCATGTTCTAAGAAATGCACGTGGTGCTGAACAGTCCATCTTTCTCCTTTGTTAGAGTACGATGTAACGTTGTTCATTGGACGTATCTGTTAATATAATTAAACTATTCATAAAAACAATTAAAAGTAGCAGATTAATGAGTATTATTAAAGTAGGGCAATAAGAATCCCGTGTGGTATTCTCGGTATCTACAAATGTTTTTTGGTGACCCCATTGAAAATGAATTGCTAACTTTTGTTATATTAACATTCCATTCATTTTTTTATGTACGTATAGCAATAATTATGAATACGATCACTCATTCTTTATTATTATTTTAAATTTAATCAACATTTTATCAGTGTGAGAATAAAAATGATTCGACAATAAAAAGATTTTAGTATACAAAATACTTTCATTTGAAAGCGTAATAGGAACATCCACAAATTTGGTTTTATAACGTATGTAGTTAATAAGCATTGGACATGGCTATGGCGATGATCTTACAACATGTATTTAGCGGGATTGAAACCTGTTGCCGAACATACAACCGTGGGGAATGTTATGATGTGACAGTCAACTCCACTGTTCGTTGAGAAAAAGAGTTGGCGGCGTATAGTGTTAACTAGCTTCTAGTCTATCAGTTCAAAGATAGGGACGGCTAGCGCAGATAGCCTTCGAGTAGCTTTGCTCGAAAAGTTGATAAACAAATATTGAGCCCTTTCATTTTTTGTTTAAAAAAAGGAACAATTTAAAAAAAAATCTGCGATATTATTAGAATTATTACTAATTTTGTTTGGATGAATTTTATTATTTTAAGAGCTTCTAAAGTTAATGGTATTAATTTGGAATTAATTCATCATACTATTAGAAAATAAGGGCGAACAAAAACTATTATATGATAACAATTTTCTAAGCAGTTTTTATTTTAATTTACAAGAACTTAATTCTGTGGTAATACGAATGCTAATTAAAACTACTGCAACTATAAATTCGTATTAGAAAACTAACATTAGGCTTATGTGTAGCACAAGTTTTGCAAGATTGTACAATATATTTGTCTGTATTTGTTTGTTTGTTTAAAGTTAAGCACAAAGCTACACAATGGGCTATCTGTGCTCTGCCCACCACGGGTATCGAAACCCGGTTTCTAGCGTTGTAAGTCCGCAGACAGGCTATAAACAGTCAACTGTTTTTTTATAACAGTCATTGTAACTCAACTGATGACAGCTCTTATTTTTCATCGAGTTAGCTGGACGGGGATTCAAATCCATTGTTGTTGTTTGTTATTGAGCACAAAGGACTATTTGTGCTCTGCCAACTACGGGCATCGAAACCCGTTTTCTAGCGTTGTAAGTCCGCAGACAGGCTATAAACAGTCTTAGAGGAACATCCACTTGGAAAATTTACTGCAGAGTGAAAAATATGTGGAAGAGTGGAAGTTTGCATCCTGGAGAATCTTGACTTATTCAGTGCCTATTGGATCTCTAAATTCAAACATACACATCCAAATTTGTATGTATTGTAACTCAAACAAATGTGAGATACACTATTGTCCCTCTTGTTTGCATGGTGGATTGAATTAAACAATATACTGTAATAAAGATAAATATTAGAAGGCTTCTCAAGACAACGAGTGTGGCAAATTGAATTTTAATTTCAATAATATAATAGTTTTATTACGTAATAAGTGTAAAAATGTATAGAATGGTAAAAACAAACTGCATCCATTTAGATTTTGTATTCCTAAACACTTTAAAATGTTATTTTATCTTTATATATATAACATCACGAAACATGCTGTCAGTTGATTCCTATGGGCCTACCAAACGTGTCATACTGACGCAGTCTAGAAGAAATAAGAAACAGAACAAATTAACGCGGAAAAAATTCATCGGTTTGAAAGTGAATAAATCTCTTGTTTTGCTGGATAAAAAAGGTGTTGAAATTCATAAATAGATGTTTAAGAAATGACTCATGCAAGCACGATTTATGCTCGCGGGTTTTATGACGAATTCGTTTAAGGAACAAATATAGATATACAAAACTAGCTCAGTTTTTTATGCAGACCATTATCTATTAAGCGAAGTCCAAAAGACACCTCGAAGAACTGATTGGATTTCGCGAATTTTAATTAATAGTCAAGTTTACTTGCTCAAGACGAATCTTTGTTTAAGAACGGATTAGATATCTACATAACACATATATATTCAACGAGAATGGTAGATATGAGACTGCCTTATCATATATATATATATATATATTTTACTCAGGTTCGAAAACTTTTCTTTTTTCTTTACAATTCTAATTGGTGCGGGTTGGACCTGTGGTAGAAGTTTGGATTTAGGACTGGCAAGCCTGTTTCCGTGCGATACCACAAAATGTTCCTCCCGTTTTGAGTTGTTGGTGTTTTATAATAGTGACAGTCAACTCCTTATCGTGGATGGTGTGTGGAAAGGCGTTATTGACTAGCTGCCTTCTATTTGGTCAGTAGTAACAAAATTAGGGACGGAGGCAGATAGTCTTAGTAGTTTTGCCATAAATACAAATACACTTCTGCACCAATATTAGTTAGTATTTTAAAGGCCTTAACCAACCCCCTCCTTCCAATTTCATTTGCTTTTGGATACACATTTCTTCTAGGATTTATTATTCGACATTTGTTTTCAATGATGTCTAGATTTTTCAACTCAGTCACAACTGATCCCAATTAGATTCACTTTATGCTTATTAAATATTAAATATTTTGATATTCTTCTTTATCTTTAGCTTTTCACACACGAACAGAAGGAATCGTGTTTGTTATTGTAAATGAATATCAACTTATTTCACCCACGAGTTAAACGGCCAAGTCAGAGATCAGATGCAACGAGGATAGCTGTCCCTAATTCTGACCAGAGGTGGTGAGGCAACCAGTCATAAGTTTACACGGCTACTCTTCCGAATAGCAGGGCTGACTTTTATAACGCAGCTACAGCTAAAAAAACATGCTCGGCAGGATATCGCCAGTCGAACTTCAAACCTCCAAATCCGCAGCCTGGCACGCTAACCACTGAGCCACGCCTGACCCAAATACAATAAGACACCAAATCTTTCTTTACAAGGTACATATACAGGGTGCTCCCCCCCCCCCCCAAAACTGTACCCATCCTTTAAGTTAAGCAACTTCTGTATATCGATTCTATTTTGATTTTTATTTCAGACAATATTGGAGGATGTCTAAAAGTAAACCCAAAAACCATTAATGAGTTTAAGCAACAGATCACAAATGTCTAAAATCGAATCAGAGTTGAAGATTAAGTTACAGCATGTCAGACACTCGGTCGTAGATGTCATGATTGTTTAAACGCTAGTGAAGACCAGTTTGAACATCTCAAATGATGCAGCATTGTATGTACAGTTAAGTTGTTGCATGAAACATTAATAAAAGTGTTTTTCTGGCTTGTAGGTTCATTTACTATAGCCATATGAGCATTCAAAATATAAGGATATTTTTTGGGGCGGCCCTGTACTAACAATAAATAGCATTTTAAGGGCGGATCTAACATTTTATCGGATCAGGGCCCGGCATGGCCAGG